CTGTTGTTCAGCATCTTAGCTGTGGAGGGCAGTGTCACTGGCCCTCATATGTGGGATCCGAACTGGGGCCCTCTGGCGTCCCAAGCTAGTTCTTAACCATCACACCACTCGGCCGGCCTAAAAACCATGGTTTTATATGTAATAAATTTGGTGAGTTCAAATCATTTTTCAAACTTTTATGAGCCTCAATTATTTGTAGTTTAAACTGGGAACATAATATTTAGTTGACAGGATTATTTTGACCTTTAGAGACTCTGTTTTTGAAAATGCCTAGCACCCAGCTTTTAGTAGCTTAATTGTACATCTCTTCTATCCCTCTTATAGTGCTCTGCACATGGTACAACCAATAAAAATTATTAGAATTTCAACCATCAAAATTCCCTAGCCTGATGAAATAGTTGAAATAGTATATGAATGCATAAAATGGCTAAGATGTAGCTTCATTTTCTATGCATTTGCTTGTTTTAAATAGGTGAAATGTAACATACACAAGACTGTTGTTTAAAACAAAATTTGTAAATTGCAAGACTTTGGCACATACTAAAATTTGCAATGGTTTGGGATTTCCCTGGAGTAGCCAGAAATGAGATACTGGCTTCAAAAGCAAACTCATGAAATATGCATTAGTATAGATTCTAGAAACCGGGCACTTGGCAGAGCTAACTTAACAGTAAATCATCATCTTGGGGTTGGTAGAAAGGTGCATATAGTGACTATAATGTCACAATTAGAGGCCTAGTATTCACTCTGTCTGTTCTTCCGCATATAGCTTTTCTTCTAAAACAGAAGAGTTGCATTTGTGAATTGTTTGTTTTAAATATTAACAATAACAAACGAATGCCATAGATGAAGGATTTAATAAGGTTTCCTAACATTTAGGAAGTTATTTCAAAGAGAAGGGAATTATTACAAATAAGCATAACCAAGTCACTTTTTGTTTTTAAGCGTGAAAAGAGGATCAGAGGAGTAGCTCTGAATTCATAATCAATCCCGAAGAAGGCTCAAAGCTGCCGCTCAGATTGGATCTACAAAACAAATTAGATTCCAGCTCCCCTCACAGATCAGTGTCAAAAGCCTAGCATCAGGCCGGCCAAGTGGCACGTTGGTTAAGAGCTGGCTTGGGACGCCAGAGGGCCCCAGTTCAGATCCCACATATGAGGGCCAGTGACACTGCCCTCTACAGCTAAGATGCTGAACAACAGCTCAACCTGGAGCTGGGTTGCCGTGAGTCGCTGGCGATGCTGTAGGCTGCAGCCCCTGCTGCAGTGGGTTGCCATGGGCTACCATATGTAGCCAGCAGCCAGTGTGAGCAGCCATCCAGAAGCCGGTGACTGATCTGCCTCATTCGGGAAGAGCGTAATGATGGTGCCAACTTGGGCCAGTGAAGCAATGTCCTCCACAACTAGACTGAAGAACAAAATGACAGCAACTTGTCTGTTCCCCTTCCCCCAATTCCCCAGTGTTGTTCCTATCCCCCAATTCCCCAATAAAAATCTTAAAAAAATAAATAAAAGCCTGACACAAACCACTGTGATGACCTCTTTGGGTTTTGTTCTTTCCCTTTCTAGAAATTCAGACCCATGAGGCTTGTCTATGAATCCCAAGTTAAGCACTTCTGCTTTTAGAGAAGAGAAATGCAACAAACTGAGGATGGCACTTCTAAAGGTACTTTTTTTTTTTAAGTGTGTAAATAACTTCTTTGTATGAGATATTTGGTGGTTGAAGGAGAAGTTGTTAATGATAGAAAAATAACTTTTTGGCAATTCTTAGTAACATGTAATCTGATGGTATAGATAAGATTTGGATTGAAAGTGAAGCCACAGAATGACTTTTAATCGAGATCTGATGAAAACAGAACTTTCAGTCATAGAGTTTCTACTGAGCAATATCATTCTGTTATGCAATTAATTCTCAAAAAGGGCTGGTTTGGGAGGCAAATGTGAGGCCTGATAATAGCCAGCCTGGTAATTGACATTGGCTAGGAAAAAAACCCCAAAGCAACACATTTTAAAGATGGAATAATAAAAAAAAGTTGGGAATAATGATTCAACCATTCGGTATTAATTGATGTGCAAAAGCACTCAGAGTTCCCAGGAGAAAAGAATTATTTAAATGCAAATCTTCATTATTACTACTACTTAAATTGTTGTAATAAATTTATGAAAATAAGATATTTTGCTAGCTTAATGCATATATAAAACCTAATAAAATATTTATGAGCCACATATCAGCAGTTTTATCTTTTGGCATTAAAAAGTGGTAAACAAGGTGGAATATTTCTTTAATCCAAGATCAAACATATTCAGTACAATTTAGAACCACACAAAATGATTATGATGATACTGGGTTTGAAAACTACAGAGACCCTCACACACTTTCATAGGAGAAAAAAGGTTGTGCTTTGAAAAGATACAGATTTCTAGTCGAGTCCCTTTAGAGTGTGGGACGAATAGAAATATCCTGAGTATGAATTTTCCAACAGAACATTATTTTGGTTTACATACCATACACAAAACTATTCTTGCGCGGTTTTACTGCATACCACAACTTAGGGATCTCTTAATATTTTTTACATCAACTGCACCACTTTAAGTTATCTGAAGAGAAGTGTAATGAATATACTATAAGCTCAGAAAGTGGCATCTTAAAGCAACAGAGGGATCCAACGTGAATCAGGAAATCTTGCAGTAAATTTCAGATGATCATTTAACGAATAAATAAAACTTCTAATACCTACAAAACTGACGTTAAGTAGGAAAAAATTTAGTAGAAAATATTACTGTTAGTGACCATTATAAGATGCTATGTGATGAAATTATTAAAAATGCATTGGCACTCACTACTTACATTATTAAAAACTTATCTTGTTGGCATATATTTTAAAGTAATATTACAGAAATGTGATACCCCGGAGCAGTTAGTTTCTATCTCTATTATGGCTTTTATCACTTGCTACCTATTATATATTTATGTACAAGTCTTAGTTCTCCCTCTATGTCATACCTTTCTGGAGGGTAGGAAGTGTGTCTGATTTATCTTTCATATTTTCATGGGACCTAACATGTGATTTGCATATATTTGGAACTCAGTAAATAGTAGTTGATGGAATAAATGAGTGCATTTGCTTTCAAGTATTATTCTTCAATAGAATAAATAGTAAACTTTTTAAAAATTGTGTTTTACAACTAAATTATTATGAAAGGGGAAAATAACATGAAATGTATATACCAACATGTTAATAGAAATTCGGTAGAATAGTGGATTATCTTTTTCTTTTTTTATTCTAACTTGTTTATAATATGGTCCTATTATCTGTTTAATAGAAGGAACAAAAAACAACAAAATGACAATATTCTACTAACTTAAAAACCACTTTATTAGAATTAGTGTGACCTCTCTACCATAATAGTGACACTTCACTCCCCTGCCTGGTCTCACAGTCCCCACCACCACCTGCCTCTCCTCCCCCTTCCCATCTAGCTAATTAATAATAAAACAGGAAAAAGTTGTAAAAAGAATAGGTTTGGAAGGAATGGGGAGAGATGGTGGTTTCACCCTGAGATGCATTGATTCATTCATTTAGAATAGTGAGTGGTTGGATGACTGGGAAATGCCTGGGGTCAGGATGCAGGAGTGGGGGGGAGAATGCAGAGACTTCACTGTCAGAGGGGAAGGCAGGACCAGCCACACACTAGGGCCATCAGCTCAGATGGCCAGAGACTAAATGGCCAAGCAACAATGCAGTGGATCAAGGGAAGACTGAGAACAGAGGTCAAAACACCTCTCCCACTCTGCCATTAAGCCTTGTAAACTTAAACTTGCCCCAGCATCGCTGGGGCAAGGAGAGAAACACAGAAAGGAAAACTGAGGGATCTTCCGTTTTAAATGGCTGTTTAAAATGGAGACTACTTTTAAGTTTTAGGGTCAGGTGTTTTCCTCTATTATTGGGAAGAGGGTGTGAAAGCAGGATGAGATCAATGACAGGTTAAAGAAAGGTGTGTTTTGCACATGTCTGATTAGAGTCTCCTCAATTTATACCAGCTGTACATTTTATTCGCTTGATTCCAAAAATAATTTAATGAGCAAGTGCTATATACTTGGCAGTAGGCCACGGGTGATTTTTGCACAGCAAAGTATAATAGAAGTATGGAGACTGGCTGTAGCTGAGGTCAGAGGAGCTCCCAAACTATATGTTTTTGAGAAAAATGAAATACAAAGACCAGTGTAAGCTAAATCAGCTTGTAGATTTTCAACCCCAAGAAGGATCTTGGAACCTGAAAACTAGTAACTGCAATCTGAACAAGTGCTGCTCAAACTCACTTCAACAATATCAGGAAGAAAAATGTGGCTTTGAAAATCATTTAAAGAAGTAATAGTTCTGCATCGTGCAGAAAAAGATGACATGACTACTGGTCTTACGTTTTATTTCATGACAAAACTGCCATGGCATTGCATCTTTGAAGTCAATTTGGGAGGGGGCTTCAGCGTTAAAATTCAGATACGGATTTAAGAACAGATGCATTTACTTTCCTTTTGCTTGGCAAATATTTACAAAGCCACCACCTTGTGCCAGGCACTGTTCCCAAACAGTGAACAAGATGTAGACTAGTGGGAGAAGTCCTTTTCTCAGAAAAATAGATGCTGTACTGGTACACTGGCTAAACTTTTATCTCAAATGAAGCAACTTATATCCCACAGTAATACCCTGTATTTCAGAAACCCCCACTTATATCACACCAAAAAATATCTTCTCTGTCTTAGAGACCTTACTGGCTATTGTTTGAAAAAGCTTCAGTTTACAAAGTTTCACTGTACACAAAATTTTATTCTCTCTTTAAAAAGAGAGACAGAAACAACACTACAAGCAACGCTGAATTAATTTACTTATACTTGGGGGAGGTGGCACATAAAGTTTGGTGGCCTGAGATCAAGAGTTCTTAGTAAAATTTCTGGGAGGCTCTCAAATGAACCATATCTGAAATATCTGAAATGAAAATGGTCAGATCCAAAATTTCAAGAACTTAAACTGCATCGAAGAAGCTTGGGCATGCTCTTTCATTCTATAAACTTATAAAGCCATTTTAATAGAGATGCATTTAATTACACATTTCACTTGTAAAGCACCTTTGAGCTCAAGCTACTTCCTGAATGATTTGGAAGAAGAAAGGTTCATTTTTGGATAATGTTCCCCTCACTATCACTAACAAATTCAGCAGATGTGTAACTGGCATTTTGGCTTTGAGTTTTCTTCCATTTCAGACTGGCGACATTTTAGCTCTCTTCAAGTCACTTAGGAACACCAGGGTCAGTGTAGCATGAAAAATGCAAGGACACTGATTGGGAAGAAGTGGCTAAGCTGAAAATCATCATTTACTGTGATTCAGCCTCTCTAGTCTTAATCCACAAAATGGAATTCCTGTAAGGAACAAGTAAATGAAATCATGTATAAGCACATGCTTTGTAAACTATAAGTGTTAAATAGATATAAGGTATTGTTTTGGAATTATATAACTTGGGAGATAATTTTATATTTAATAAGAGTAGTAATCTCAAGTTACATGACTCAAAACATCTGGTGTTATATCAAGTAGAGCTGAAATCCTACTATAAAATTATGTAAAAACAAATATTTTTGAAATCCTATAAATAAAATAAAATGACATTTATTAAGATCATCAAAGCTTGAATTGAAATAGTGTAAGGGAAAAATTAGAATTCAAGACACAAATTATTAGTTCTTAAGGGGAGAAAGAAAGTTCCCTGTCAATCTTCAATGGCTTAGCAGTTTTGAAAACTCGTCAAATTTAGCATAATAATAAAACTTCAAATTATGTTCAAATCATGTTGAAATTATATGCAAATGTACAATCCGGCATTAAAATGATGGTAATACTCACGGTGAGATGACTAAGAGCTAAAGTAACTAGTATTTCAATCTTGCCACATCTTTTTGTTATTGTTCAGATTTTTGGTTTTGAAGTAATATACAGTTCTATCAAATTAAACCTGTATTTTATTATAATGGGTCTATTCAGCGGTTCTCAACCTGTGGGTCGCAACCCCTTTGGGGGTCGAATGACCCTTTCACAGGGGTTGCCGGGGTACTCGTATGTGGGCGTATCTGCATGTGGGCCTGGAGACGGATAGAGGAGCTGTGTCTCGGTTTCTAAGACCATCGAAAATATGTGTTTTCCGATGGTCTTAGGCGACCCCTGTGAAAGGTTGAGAACCGCTGGTCTATATGATACTGATATTTATTTGTACTTTTTATTGCTATGTGAGTGTTACATTTTAGTAGAATGAAGAAAAAAATGAAATTAATTAAGCCTATTGATTTCTCTAATTTGTATAAAAACTGTCTTTTACTAAAAAATATTAATTTGGGAACACCATTTCTGAAGGTTAATTTCTTCTATGATCATGTGCAATATAATGGAACATGGAACCCAGTTAGAAAGTGCAATCAAATGTCATATATATATATATAAATATATATATATATATATATATTTATGCCCTTGGTCTCAAGTACATAATGTTTTATAATGTGTCGCTCTTCTAATAATTTGTACTGTCTGCCTAGTATGTTTTTCTTATGGCTCTTGCCAGCTTAGTTGAGGGATTTCACTTTGTAACTGCTCTGTCAAATCAATTCTGTCCTTCTGGTTCTGTGCAATATAACAATATGACACCCAGAGCATATCCAGGCAAGCGGAGAGCAAATGAATTTCCTCCTGCTCCTCTGTTGAAGAGGAGAGAAATTCCTTCACCCCGTAAGTCTCAGAGCATCATACTATTCTTTATGGTAGATTAATCTCAGGACCATGAGGGCCTTAGGGCACAGAGTCCAGGGCAAATCATGCTGCTCCCTTCTCATATTTGCATGGAAATCAAATCAGATTCACTGGACAGGAAGGGGGACAGGAAGCCTCCAAATATCCAGGTGAAGTAAGAGCTGTGCGAGAGGGGCCTGCAGCCTCCCCTCACCCCCTAACTTAATTGGTGCCTGGGGTGGAGGTGTCTGTGGGCTTGTTTTAAGCCACCCCTCAGGCTACTTCTTGGAGTCCTTCCTGACCATGATATTTAGGTCAGAAAGTCACACAGCAATCACCCCAATTCTTTCAAGTCCCCAGGACAGCTCTTGGCCAGGGCCGGCTTTGTGGACATGTGACCTGTACAATTACAAAGAGCCCCGGACTTACGAGAGCCCTGCACTGGGTTTAATGCTCTACTCTCTTGGTGTTGAAATCCTAAATACTTTTTGATCAAGATGTTCCATTTGTTTATATATATATACAGATCTCGTATACAAAGCCATAGAGCATTTTTAACACAAGAAAACAACCAGTTCCTCCTTTTATTGCACTCTTACCAATAATAAATGAATCAAAGGAATTTAGGGCTGGAAACAATAAGGCTGAGGTTAAAACGAGCCCAATTTTTAATAGAAATTAAATTTTAAGTGTGCTGTGATATTGCACTATAGAAGTACTTTTCCAGGATATCAGTAGTTTTTGTCTTTCCATCTGGGTTAATTAAAGTATTTTGAGATGGTGAAATGTGGTTTGCTAGACATTTCAAGCCAAAGTAGAGTAGATACATAGAGGTCACTACAGGGTTTTATTTATTTATTTATTTATTTTAAGTAAGAAAACCTGGGTGCAAACCAAGGTGTTTTATAATAGCATACCTGTTAATACCTAGGGACAGTCAGTGTCAGCCACACACAAAAATGTGAAGACGGTGAGGTTTCAGAGCATCTCTTTGCTTCCTCTTTCAGCATCCCTTTATCCTGTGATGTTTGCATTCCTTCCTCCTCATCCTAAAAATGGTTAGATTTCGGGGAAACTTGTGTATAAATTCTTCTCCTCCCTCTGCCAAATGACTTGAGCCGAAAGTCTACATCCCAATTTTGTGTGGCTTTGTTCTCGGTTGACTTTCATGGTTAGAAAGCTATGTGATAATTAACCTGTTAAATTATTCGCTGGTACTAACTTAAGGTGTGACTTCTACTTGGGTGCTTTATTTTAATATTTACTATCACAAAGTCTTAAAGGATAAAGGAATGAATTTCCCTGAGAGCCATTGTGAAGCCCACTGACAAGCCAGGGAGTGCTCCCTGAAGGCCTTCAGTGGCACCAGGCAGAGAGCTGCCATGGTGTCTGCCTGTGAGAGCTGCCCTTGGTGGCTACGTGTGGGAGGGAGACAGAAGAACCTCCCCAACTATTCCTTTAGTTCATGCCGAACTTCAATAGCTCAGTAGCTCATCCAGACTATGCTTCAGACCTGTCACACTGTCCCGCTTATGGGAGAAACACAGAAAAAATAATGTGTTTTACATAACCCTGATGCGTCTTCCCCCATCCTCCTTGTTAACTTTGCTTCCTAGGCCACTGAGGCAATAGAGGTAATTACAAGGGAATTTTTACAAGTTGCCACCACATCTCTCACTGGTCAGCAACCGTAGTCTACCTTCTCTCCTTACTAATGATTAATTGTCCATATTCCCCTTTAAGGTTATGGGATCCCATCATCACTCAGCTGCTCAAGGTCATCACTCCAGCAATTCACTTCTTTCTTCTGGATCATTCCCATCAGCATACAGATATGCCACGATTTCCCTTAACCTTCAAAACAGCAACAAAAACATTCTCTCTCTTGACCTTACTTCCTGCTCAGGCTACTGTCCATTTCTATTTTTCTTCACATCGAAGCACCTTGAAAAACGTACTTACATTTGCTTTTCCAAATTCTTTCATCTCATTTCCCCTCAACCTACTTCAGTCAAGTTTTGGTCCCCAGTCATTCTGCTAAAACTGCTCCTGCCAAGTTCATCAGTGACCTCCATGCTGCTCAACCCAGAGTTCTTATCACTTGACCTGTCAGCCACATTTGACACAGTTCATCACTCCCTTCTCCTTGAAACACTTACTTGGCTTCCAGGACCAACACTCCTGATTTTCTTCCTACCTCACTGGGCACGCCTTCTCATGTCTTGCCGACCCTTCCCATCTCCCTGTCCTCTTAACAATGGAGTACCTTAAAGAAACGGCCTCACACCATTTTTCTTCAGAATCTACACTCACTCCCTTGGGTGTCTCATCTAGTCTCATGGCCTTTGAATATCATCTCTATGTGAAATACCCCCAAATCTCTATCGCCAGCCCAAGCCTTTCTCTTGAACTCTAGACTCATCTATTTATTTACTTCAGTGTGTAGGTGGATATCACACTTAACGCTGATCTCCTCTTGCAAGTCCACTCTTGTCCCTCTTACCCCCAGTCTATTCTTGGCAGGCTAGCCAACGTGATTCTATTAAAACAGAGGACAGACCACATCCCTCTTCTATTTAAAACTCCCCAGGGGCCGGCTGAATGGCTCAGTTGGTTAAGAGTTAGCTTAAGAGCATGAGCTCTGAGCAATGGGGCTGCCAGTTCGATTCCCACATGCGCCAGTGACGCTGCGCCTGAGCTGAGCTGCCGCTGAGCTGCCAACAGGTGGCAGGGTGGCTCAGCTGGTGAGAGCATGTGCTCTTAACAACAAGACTGCCTGTTTGATGGTGGGCTACACCCACCTGCAACTAAGACTGAAGTCAGCACCTTGAGCCGAGCTGCCACCCAGATTGCTTAGTGGATAGAACGTGTGCTTTTAACAACAAGGCTACCAGTTCAACTCCCGCATGGGATGGTGGCTGTGCCCACCCGCAACTAAGATTGTAACACAGCACCTTGAGTTTAGGAGGCCACGATGGGCAGCCAGATGGTGACTGGTGCCCTCCACAACGAAGATTGAAGAACAAAAACTTGGCTGGTCCCCTTTCCCAACTCCCCAACACTGTTCCCCTCCCCAAATTCCCCAATTAAAAAAAAAAAAGCAAAAAACAAAAACTCTCCAATGGCTTCTGGTCACTCTCAGAATTGAAGTCAAAGTCCTTAACGTGACTTACGAGGCCCCACCTAATCCGTCCGAAATTCCCGTTGTTGTCTTCCCTAGTGCTCATTCTGCTCTAGCCATTTTTCTCACTCAGGGCTTCCTTGACCACCCTATTAAATTGCAATAGCCCTTCCTATCCACCTTCTCCGATTTCTCTTTGTTTATGGCACTCTCTCTTTCTAACTCTAGGTTTTCCTGATTTATTTTATTACCTGTCTCCCTCACCCCCAGAATACGCATGTAATCTCTATGAGGATGAGATCTCCGTCTGTTACCTGATGTGTCCCCAACACCCAGGAGCCACAGTAGGTGCTCAGTACACATGTGTTAAACGTATGATGGTATATCTTTCCACCAAAGAACATGGCCTGCATGTAATATTCAGAAAACCAGTTTTCCAAAGATAGGGGTCGGATCTGTGACTGAGGGGCTGTCTCTTTCTTAAGCTCTTCTTTACAAGGCTGAAGGACTGGCTGTAAGGCAGATTCCTGGATTTGTGTGGTGGGCAGGGCATTCACCGAGTCCCTCACTGTCCAGCCACACCTCTCACTCTTGCCCTTTCCACTGAACAGGTGAAATCAAAATGCTGTGCAACATTTTTAGTATTTATTCTTTTTACTCAGTAATTATGCAGCTTTTCCATGAAATGCCTCTTTTAAAATGTTACTGTAAAGATTAAGCTGATGAAGTATGTGTAGCAACAGAATTGTCTTCAAGTTTGGCATATTATCATCTCTTGAATTTATTCTACTTTCTAGTCATTAAATAACTTCACATTTAAAATAAACAATTGCTGCCCACCACAGTAATACATCTTGCTTTTATCAGAGGTTGTAGCAAAAAGTGAATTCTGGAGACACTGATGTGGACAGTAACAACCCACTCTCCTGCTGAGAGTACTTAACTGGCTGCTTCTAGGGAAGCAACATCTAACTCAATAGCTCAAGACAACAGGTTTGAATAAACCTGAGGAAACTTGAGAATGGCAAAATTTCATTCGCCCAATTCTGATGCAGAAAAGGACAAACTGCTCATAGTCATTCATTCTCCCGTCCCACTTATTCCAATAAGAAATACAGAAAAATTGGTAAGTTGAGATGAGTAAAACAGCTGTCAGTGGCATCTTGCCTCTGAGTTTGACTTATAAAAATATCAGTGAGCTCAATTTTCCGTATTTTGCTATATCATTTGGGGAATGATGAAGAGAGTCTTTTTTATAATTATAAAACTTCCGGCTTTGATGTCATTTGTTACAATAGTGTCTGGAATTCTGAAAATGTTCTATCAGGGGTGATCTGGGCATTTGTGGAGTTGACAGTTGATAGAAGTTGGGTAACCGAATATCGTAGTGGTAGCTTTTCCCTATATATACCCTGTCATTCAAGGCATAGAGTTTATCTGCAATGTCACTGCCAATTAAAACTGAAAACAGGCGGGAGATGTAACGATGCTGAGCGAAGAGCAAATATAATTTCTTTCTCCTCCAAGACACATATCGACAGTCGGTTTCTGCTGTGAGGGTTACCTAAAAAAAAAAATCATAAGATCACATATAAACAAAGATTAGGGAGCAATAAAAGTCCTGCTACATTTTTTGTGCCCAAAATTTTATTTTATTTTATTATTTATTTATTTATTTTTTTAGCTGAGCCATTCTACCACCTGTTGGCAGCTCAGCTCGGGCCAGGAATCGAACCAGTGACCCTGTTGCTCAGAACTTGCACTCTTGAGGGAGCTCTTAACCAACTGAGCCACTCGGCCAGCCCTGTTCCAAATTTTAGATGATTTTCCCTTCTGCCTTTTTTAGGTTAAAAAAGCCCACTGACCCACCATATATTGTAAAAAAATAAAGAGAAATGATACAATTTATTACTATACAATTTATAATATGAATAATCACAACATTGTGCCCATCTCCAATTTATCTGTTTTTGAAGTGCAGTTATCCATATTTTGCATTTTATTGAAGCAAGAGCTACTTGATACTAAAAAATAATAAAGTTGACTAATGTTAGAGAAATATTTCCAAGCCAATCCTGAAGACTGTGGTCATTGAACCCTAGTGCAGTTTCTATAGTACAAAACAGAATTTGTGTACGTATTCTGGATATGTATATGAATTTGCATTTGTATACACACATGTACATTACGTGTATTAATCATAGGAAAACAGTATAGTACATAACAGATAGAAACGACTGAAATGGTTATCTTTCAAAAGTACGAGTCGTGGCACCAGAGTAGTGACAGGAAGTTTAGCATTTTGGTGTTAGAAAACAACTGCAACCCATCAGCATTTTAAATTTTAAAAATCACTTATTTTGAAATAAGGGCTGATTTTTTGTTCTTGGTGTTTTTCGAAACTGTCACAGTGGCAGTGTTTAGCTTACAGTCAAATCTTAATTAATTATATCTTAATTCCCATACATGCAGTTAAGCAAAGGAAAACTTAAGACACTTTCTCACAGACTCTTTTCTATAATGTATAATACCCATTCTTCCCCTTGTTGCTGGACCTATAAAATGACATTAATTAACAAGACTCAAATGGCTTTGGGAAGTCATGCAGTTGACTTCCCAAAGTTAAAATAAATCCCAAAATTAAAATACATCCCAAAGTTAAATATAAATTATTCCTCTGTCAACTGCTGTTTTGTTTGTTTGCCTGTTTTTAAACAAACATCATTTATCTTTTATCTGTTTGGAAGAGGCAGTGTTTCCTGTGTGCGCTAGTTATCCCTTACCTGAAAAATGCCTTCCTCTGTGGGTCTCAGTGAGTCCCATTCAGGAGAATCCAGGAACTGGAAGGGGAAAATGTAATGCAGAAATTCGCCATCAACTGTCACTCTGATCCTACAAACACAAAGAACAGCATGTATGAGGGAAGGGTAAAGTGAGCACATATGGGAGGTGCGGGGAGGGAGCAGTATTTCAGATCTCTGATGACATTTTTGGCTATTAAAATTAAACTATTAAAATTTTATAATTTAAAAATAATTGTATAATTTAAAAATTAAAATATTACATTCATACATTACAGTAAGTGACAAATCTCCTGTAAGATTCATGTACTGATGTTCCTCACACAGTTAGGGGTCTGGAATATGGGGAAAATTCATCAGAAAATTCATCAAGCTGTACTTATGGTATGTACATTTATGTATGTACATTCCACTTCAATAAAAAGTTTCAGTGCATTCAGTCAGATTTTAAATTCAGTAAGAAAACCTGAGGAACATAAAGTACCACTGCAAATAACTCTAAATTAAATATTTAATTTTTTAAAAAACAGAATCACATTTGTTTCCTCCCCAAAACTCTGTTTTCAAAGTGTGTGTGTGTGTGTGTGTGTGTGTGTGTGTGTGTGTGTACAGAGGGTGCCAAAAAATGTATATACATTTTAAGAAAGGAAAAAAACTATTAAAATTATAATAATATATGCCAATAACAAAAGATGAATACAAGTCACGTTTGACTTCTGCAATTACAAGAGGTGCTCAAAGTGGTTACCATCAGCGTCCAGACACTTCTGATTATGGCAAACTACTGCTTGAGCAACGTTGACCAAAGTGTCTATTTATATACATTTTTTTTGCACCCCCAGTATGGATTTATGTGTGTATGTATGTATATGTACATGTATATGTATGTGTGTGTGTGTGTATACACACACATATATATATATATATATTTGTGTGTGTGTATATATATATATATATATAATGAGGTGCACCCACCCCACTTCTGTCTAGCAAATAGGCAATTACTAGAAATGACTGAAAAAAAATTGATCGTTATAAAATTTAATGTTCTCCACTGCTTAAAAGAATTCCCGATATGAGTCTATTTAGATTACTTTGCATGCCAACATAAGTACTGTATTAATTCAAGCTGGTATCATCTTTTTGACTTTCAGTAAGTAATTTGCTTGAAAATATATAGCATATCCAGATAAACCAATTTATACATTTGATTTCTACGAAGAAATATTAAGGCTCTAGATTATTTCCTGCTTCAGGTAAATACTACCATGTATTCTAAATGCCTATGTCCCTGACTCATGTGTCAAGGGCTTTCTCATGCCTCAGGGTGTTCAATGCCACCCAAGACTATGCTACACTGAGACAAAAAATGTAGATGAAAGAAAGACAAGCTAATAGCTAATACAGAAGAAAGACATGCAAGCACTAAGAGTACAAACCTTCCTGAAATAAGCAGAGAGAGTTTATCAATGGAGGTTTTCCCCTGCATGGCATAACAGTGCTCCTTCTCCAAAGTAACCACTTCAGAGCTCAGAGCAATTGTTCTGAAGACAGGCAAAGAGGTCCCCAGAGGCTGGAAAAGGGAGCTGTACAACAGCTGGAATTCTCGGGCAAAGGTTATGCTGCGCACTTGGTATGCAATGTGAACAAACTGCATGAAGCAGATAACAAACAGTACAAAATTCCAGGAAAAGATGTCGGCTGCACAGACATCTACCCAAGCCCAGACAGCAGAGCAGAGAAAACCCAAACCCAGCAAACTGAAGACATAAAGGAGTCCGAAGAATCCACTGCCACCCATGAAACCTACTACAAATAAAATACTGGCAAGATGATAAATGGCTCCTTCGGCCTCTTGCTTCCAGCTTGTGCAGACTGGGTGTTCATCAACTAGGTTCTTCCATAAACTTGAATTTCTTTCCATGGCTGTACTACTGTCTGGTTCACTTTTCTGTTGATGGCAGATGATATCAAAGCGAATAATTAAGTCCTTTGCTTTTCCATCATTGGAGCTTTGCTCAGTCCTCACAAAACCAGAGGAAGTCTAGAGACTGGAGTCATGGAGATTAATAGTTTGGTGTGTATGGATCTTGAAAAACTAAGAATCCCATCCTAGCTTCTTTAAGTTCATCTGGGCTCCTGATTTAGATCTAGTCCATAAATATGTTGTGGTTTCCTGTGCAAGGGAAAAAAAAAAGGATCGAATTAAACAAGGAGAATTGAGACGTACATTTAATGAATCGCCAGCATTATTCAAGCTGACTTCCTTCCTATTTTCTATAAAGTTGGTATATTTTAAGCACCAATGCTGTCAGGTGATAAATTTCTAATATATGAAACGTATATTTTTAAAGTTAAGCTTATTAGTAACAAATTTGCAGAAATTTTATTATTTGTTAGGATTAGCTAATTACATATTTTTCAAGGGAGTGAAGTGCAATAATCAGCTAGTCTCTATAACAGTTCAGTGTACCTCAGAATCATTTGGGACAGTGACTAAAAATGCAGATTCATAGATGATTTCCAAGACATACTGAGTCAGAATCTCTTGTTTCCAAGACATACTGAGTCAGAATCTCTGAGGGGGTGGGGCTGTGTGTTGGTATTTTGAACAAGCTCTCCACATGATTTTGATGCATCAATCCTTGGCCCTCTATGGCCCACCCTTTGAGAGATACTGTTTGACAAAATATTATTCACTCTTTACAGATGAAGAATGTGATGCTCAGAGAGGCCAAGTAATTTATCCCAGGCCACACAGTGGTCGGTGGCAGAGAACTTCAGCATTTGAGCCTGTATGCTGGATCCTATCATGTGGCTTCTCCTGAAAGAAGTTTTATTATATGTTATATTAATATATATTAATATATATTACTATTTACTATATGTTATATTAATATATGTTATATTAAAAATTAGGCACTTTAAGGGGCCCTAAAAAACAAACATAAGAAACACATTGTTAGGAGTCAAATTTTAAGAGCACATAGTAGACTGTGAAAATGTAACGATTTAGATCAAAATTATTTGAGAAATATAAATTTAGTTCTACTTTACTGTATTAGAGGCTATTTCCGGTTAAAGATTGCATCTATACAATTAATAAATATTAAAATTCCTGCTACTTCCATATTTATTTACCAGATGGTCAAAAATGTTACCAACTTGTTCCTCTGCACATATATTCTCTATCCTTTCAGCCAGATGGTAAAAATGCTAATATGTGATCTGAGTCGGTAGAGATTTAACTATGATGACAAAGCTGTAAGATATGTATCATTTACCACGAGGTTTCTTAACAATAAATGGTTTCAATGTGAGGCATTAGTTAGATTGACTTTTAAAAGTCATAATAATATTCAAAACCCTTGCAATTGTGTGCTATATTTAAGTTTATTTTCAAGCTAGAGTATTTCCAGAACACCTGTTAATAAGCTATCAAGTATCACAGATTTTCTTTCATAGAAAATGATATACACGCAGACGTGAAAATGACTTAGCTGAAGTTAAAAAAAAAAAAAGGAAGAGGGTAATCACCATCAGAACTGGAAATGAAAGTAACGGAGCTGCTGTTGTTGAAGTTCCTGATTTTTCACATTGGATAGGGACTTTTTTCTCAACAAGTAATCACTAAGAATGCTGCCAAGTGAATCATTAAAAGAAGAGGAAAAAATAACCTATAACTTACAGTGATATTGTTATTTTTACTCAACTTGCTTTCAAATTCATTTCAAACATTCTGCACCCCCCTAATTACCACCTTCCCCCAACACTTTAAGATGATGAGATTCAAGGCACACCGGCACCGTGAACATGTTTAATTTCTCCTCTTTTAAACAAAACACAAAATTATATAGTGCTGGATATTCATAACAAAGACAAATTTCAAAAATACGAGTAGTGAGAACTGTGAAATACCAGATTGCAAATGTCAATCTCCCTGCTGTTTTACTTTTAAAACTAGGGCATTTTCAATTAATCACTTCCTCTGGATACCAATCATAGCTACTAACGCCAACACTAAAAAGCACTGCTAGGAGAGCTCTGAACTTTGGTTTGAACTTCCTTAAAAATTTATAATTCTCGACAAAATGTTAAAATGATGCTACTGGGGAGAGACCATATAAAACGTTTGTGGGAATTCAGAAGTGAGCGTATGGGAATCTTGTCCCCTTAACATCTTGGGGATATATTGGGTCACCTACACTCCACGAATGATTGTAAGAGGAACTGTGCTTCCGGTCTCTTCATTTGGCTTCTGTTTCCATGAGCTACTACCAAACCATCTTCTATCCTTGAAACTGTATCACTGCCCTATTTACATTAGTCCACACCCAGCTTTTCTCCATTTGGCATGTTATTATTCAGTCACCAAAACAGATGCACTTTATTAGTGGAAGAGGAAGAACTGACAGGGACAGGTGATGAGCGTGAGTGTTCCTTTGGTATGTGCCAGCAGTACTATATGAATGCTGAACATGATTCATCAACCAGCTGCCTGTAGGGAAGGCTTGGAGGCCTTAAGTCATGTTTTCGGGTAAATAAATCTGGAATGTCAAAGTGGCACAATGACATCTTAAGCAACGAAGTTGATCTTCTCTGCATAAGAAGTTAGCATACAGAGATACAAATGATGGAGACAAACTTAAATGCAAATAAACACAGTAATTCCAAGCACCTCCACCCCTTTTCTCTTTAAATTGTAAGACCCTGAGTAGTTATAAAGGAATGAGCAACTATAAAGGAAGGTACAAGGATGCTCAATGAAATGTGATATAAACTTGGTGGTAAACTGATTTAGATTAGCTCAGAAATTGCATTGATCTGTTCAGAACCTGTACATTTATTATCTCATTGAATCACACTTATTGCCACAAGGAAGGCAGAATCTAAATCATCATGCCCAGCTTACAAATGAGAAAAGCAGGGCACAAGATTGGTTAAGTCACTTGCTTCCGGTGAAAGAGGCAGTAAGTCACCACAATGGGGGGAAGGTCAAGTCCCCCTCCGCTTAGCTTCATGCCTCACTGGCAGGTAACGCCAACTTTCAAGGCCGTGAATCCGATATTAATGTGGGGAGGCCAAAGAGGAATATTCTGCCAGGACTGGTTTGCCAGGAAAACAATAATCCTAACAGCAGATATTTAAGGCCTGCTATATCTGCTTGTACTGCTCAATCCATAGTACTTAGAATACATCCAGAGACATAGGCATAGAAATCCACTCATGCAATAATGTGCTTTATTATTATTCAACATTGATTAATTTCCTCTCCTGGATTCTGAAATTCTTAAGGGACAAAGACAAATGTTTTTGTATTTCTGACCCCTGGCACTCAATGAATGTTGATTGACTACATTGGAGTAGAGGTGCAAACACTCTGCCTTCTCCATTCCCAGTCTCAATACAATTTAATGATGATCTAACATCTCCTGTTCCTAGGGGAACAGAAGTGGGGAAGATTCCAACGTTCAAGATAGTTCAAGACAAAGACACTAAGGAGTTGGAACATCATGTATTTAAAATGTCTGGCACAACTCCAAATTCATAGGGGAATCCTTTTGTCTTCTTAGAAACTTGAGCTCCTTAAGAATTGTTGAATTCCTGATCTGGTTAAAAAACAACTTTGGGAGAAGTGACCTCAGAAACATGGCGGCATGAGCGGTGCTCCTTGATCTCCCCCCTTGGAGTTACAACAAGTTGAACAGCTATAATTCAACAAAGGGTTCCCTGTACAACACACAAACACATCTCAGAGATCCTTGCATCGCAACATCTGCAGATGCTCGAATAGAGGAGGAGCAAATGGAGAAATGCAGACACGGGGCCGTGGCACTCAGCCCGGAGCTCACTGCATTCCCGGACAGGAGAGGATTGAGACTGCAGGTGCATTCTCTGTGCACTCTCTGTGGCCCCAGCAATCCTGCCTGAATGATCATCATATAATATGGCTGAACCCAGCAACTGGGGGCAGAGACCTTGGCGCAAGACTGAATACAGAAGTCCGACAACTGCAATCTAACTTTCCTCACTGCCAGGCAGTAAACAGAGCTACAGAGCCAGGCCACCTCCCGCCACCCTTCCAGTGTTTGCAGCAGGCCCCAGAAAAAACAGTAGCACTGTCAGATTAAAGAGCAGAATATTTACAACCCTGAGAACTGGAGAGACAGTTCCTGAGTGGCAGATGCACACTGTGGCTAATTCTAGTTACAAGGGAGGAGCTATAAGGGTGAGGCAGCTGTGGTCTGGCAGTTGCCATTACTTGGAGGAGAACAAAGCCACAAACACACCAGCCACCTCTCCCAGTCCACCCTACCCCCACCTTTCATGGCTGATTCCAGCAAGGGGCACCCAGGGTTGCTGAGGCACACAGCTCTGGATCTGGCTGTAGGAGCAGCACTGGGGTTTCAGGGGCTCAGATCCTCATTGACCACCATGTCCTTCCACAGGGGTGGTGCCCTGAGACCAAGGTGACCTGGTCACAGAGGAGATTCCCACCTCCCCAGAAAATCTCCCACCATGCGAGAAGCTGGAACAGGATGAGAGAAAGTAAAACACTCCAGCACTGAAAAGCAAAAGAAAGACTTCTTTGTACCCACCTGCTGTGGAATTCACTCCTGTTGATGACTAGGAAGAGAAATAATCCATTAATTACCAGAGATAACCAAGGTAACAAGGCAGCTCAGAAGAAAATGAAAAATCTCCAGAAAATAAACTTAACACATTGAAGACGGGGCATTTAAATGTACAGATGCAAATCTGTATCACCGGTCCACAATGTGTTAAAGACATGGAAATATGTGACTTAAATGACAGATCATTCAAGACTGCAGTTCTGAAGAAACTTAACAAGATGCAAGAAAACTCAGGCAGTTTAATGAACTCAGAAATAAAATCAACAAACAAAATGAATATTTTACCAAAGAGACAGAAATTTAAAAAAAGGAACCAAACAGGAATTCTGGAGCTGAAGAACTCAATAAAAGATGAAGAATGAAATAATAAGCTTAGGAAATAGAGCTGATCAGATGAAGGAAAGAATTAGTGATATTGAATATAGAAATCTAGAAATGACACAGATGAAAGAAGAGAGACACTTGAGAGTTAAACAAAATAAAAGAATTCTACAATAACTATTTGATTCCCTCAGAAAGAGCAATGTAAGAATAATGGGTA